ACTTTCGACTGAAGAGGTAGAGTACAGGGGCAGGAGAAGACGAAGGAGGTCCGGCTCGACTTATTCGTCATCAGCTTCCTCTTCCTCGGCTGCCAAATCCTCCTCCCCCTCCACGAGGATGCGTCATCCCTACCACGTCCGGTCCTGCCGCGATTGCCAACAGCCAATGGAAGAGCTGTCTATCGAAGCCGACGCGTTCGAGCGCTCACACGTCAGCCACCGCAGTCACTCTCATGGCGTGTTGAGGCGCTCAAAGGAACATGGACATAACCATGGGTATTCTGGGCACCGTCAGCATCATCATTCTGTTCCGCGACCGGTGAAAGAGAGAAGCTCAAGCCGGCACAGCCATGTACAGCCTTCCGGGCGACATCATCGCTCTGAACGTGACGTTAGGGTGCATGACTGTCAGTGCCGTGGCTGCCGAGCGTTCTCAGCGCGCTCACCAGAACGGTCGCACCGACATAAGTCTGACAAAGGACGCAGGAGAGAGACGAGTATGCTGGCCACAACGTCGACTGTGGACTCTTCAGCGGTGGAGAGAGAAGAATCAAAGAAGTCAAGAAACCAAATCACGGATATCACTGACGCCTCTCTCCTGAAGAGCATTCTCACTGACGAGCTTGCTCTAGAGACGATCGGTCGCCAGCAGAAGCTCCTGAAAAGAGAATTAGCCAAACAGAGGCAATTAGCTGCAGAGCTGGCAGAGGCCAAACGTCAAACTCAACGCCTGTTAGCAGAGAAGGCGAGACTTGAACGTTTGCAGGCGGAGTTGCCGTCACGGGTAAATGTGACAGAGACACAGATCAGCAATCCCACCACATGTGAGTCTACAACTCCAGTGGAGATGACGCCTGTAATCCAAAGCGAGCCGAGTCTTTCTACTGAAGCAAAAAAGTTGGGCGAAAAGGAAGAGACGAAATTGAGTGATATAACTACCGGCATTACTCAGTCAGAACCTACAAAAGTGAATGAGGAGAAAGCGGAAGAACCGAAACCTGATAGCGTTATTGAAGAGGGTAAATTGAAGGAACGAGAGAAGGATGATGCGGAGAAGAGCACTGCTCGAAGCGACCGCACAGAGTCCGTTAGATATCAGAGGTCGCATCACAGCAGCCATTCGCATTCACGTCCGCATAGGCATCACCATCATCGCCACCACCATCATCACAAACATCATCATCGTCAGCAGTCCCGCGGTTCCTCTACGAGGGAGGAAGACCAGGGAGCAGCATCTTTCAGCGGTGAGGACGAACTGAAGTCAAGAGACCTACAAAAGCGAGAAGCCAAACAGGAGTGAGTCCTCCTTTCCTGCTTTATGGAATATGTGTAGATTGTGCTTTTCTTTACTCCGGACTTGCGCTTTCTTCCCCTCAAACATCCCCGGGAAAAAAGTCCTATAAAAATAGCGAAGCAGCGCTGACAGAAATGGAAGCATTTACTTCCCCTATAGCTGCTTTTTTCCGTCCGCAAACACGCAGTACCTCTCTGCAGTAGTTGTCAGAAGACCATCATAGAAACAAATCGCCTGTTTTAATCCGCTTTTTTGCACCCAATGTATCGAAAAGTAATTTTATCTTGTAAAGTATTTAAAAGAAAATGTCTGGATTTTCTTCCTGCTGGGGTGACTATTGGGTGTGCATTAGCGTCCCTGAGGTTTTGAAAAATCCTACGGAGTCTAATTCAGTTTGTATTCCGAGACGTAGATTTTATTACTGCTCCACCCACTGGGCACTTTTGGTCAATTCTTGTTCCGTGAGTGCAGAATAAAGTTATTGAGAAACGCGAAAAAAACGTTGGCATCTCCAATGGCGCCGCGTCGAATTGCGTGCAGCTTTCTCGGACACGCTGAGAAACTAGCCGCATCGTGACTAGGAATAAGGACAAGGGGAGGCAAACTACGACCTGGTCAGTTTTCATAAAATCGACTGCATTTCCAATCTAGTTGCCTTTGATCACTACGTCTAGGCCCTATCCTGATAACCATTTTGACTGCGGACCCCGCTGTAGTCGGCATTGTCCAGCTGCAGGTGTTTGGCCTCGAGTAGTTATCACGTTAGTAGGCCTAGGGGAGAAAATAGTCAATAAGTCTACTGACTTTTTCGCTGGAGCTGCAATGGGCTTTCGTCATCTACGAGAGGTCAGTCAGTAAGTCTGCGCGGAGAAGCTGGAAACGCCACAACCATCATGTAGTATTATCGGCTGCCTCTGTACACGTTTGTTCAGGCGGGTATGCACTGTGTCGTAGTTGCCGAATCAAGCCGCTTTAGCATTTTTGGGCCATTCAGCTTAAAGCTATCTTTTCTATTCAAAGTCCGAATCCGTTGTTCTCGAATAATGGTTCGCGGGAAAGCCGGAAACTTGCCACCAAATTCATTCATCTCACTATGAAGAAAGAAGGGCTGGATGACCTATTTCTTCCGGATACTATTTGACGAAGTTTTCGGTGTAGGATGGGACGCTGAAGTGACTTTCCAATGGTTAACAACATGAAAATGTCCCAGCGATCGAGTCTTCTTCTTCTCAACATGAAAATTCTCAAATCAGAAGTAAGGGCAAACAGAGAGGGTTGGACCAGGCTTTACAGTAGAAAACGCCATACAAATAGTCGACACAAGTCATCTCCTCAGGCGAGTGTGCGTCACTGTTGGTTGTTGCGATTCATCGTCTTCAATACGTATAGGTGTTTTTGTGGTCTGCAGCTAATCAGCAAACGAGGCAGCATCGATTGGCTTCGGCCGTTTGCAAGGCTAATG